TAATAATAATTTTTTTTTTAAAAAAGAGTATTAAGCCACCCAGAATCCATAGGACCAGCCTAACTATTTCAGACTAGATTAACGTCACCCAGAATTTTCTGTATCATATAAGGTTTTTATCTCAGATACTTCAGGCGTCATAACAACTCACCCAGAATTTCCTGAGTCAGTCTAATATCCTATCCCAGAATTCACAGGGCCAGCCCAAGAATCAAGTCTTGCTTTCTGACTGGATTAACTTGACTTCTTCCAGAACTTTCAGAGCCTCCTAAAGTTCTACTCATAACCCTGGGAGGCACCATCATTCTATCTCCAGAATTCTCAGAACTGGGTGGACATCCTCCCAGGACTTTCAGCACCACCTCACATCCTGTATCTCAGAATTCTCAGGTCCTGCCTAAGATCTATCCCAGAACACTCAGCACCTCCCACACATGCCACCCTGAATGCTAGAACATTCCATTCCAGAACTCTCTGAGTTACCCGTGACAATCTCTCCCACAAGTCTCCGAGCTGCCCGAATGTATTCCACACAAACTCCTCAGGTCCAGCCCCACTATCATATTCAGAATTTGGACTACAACCACATAAAAATCTTCCAGAATTTTGAGTCACCTGATGTCCTACCCACAGTTCTCAAAACGAGACAAAACAAATCCACTGTCAACAAGCTGCTTTCAACTACAGGACAGAAAAGAACCAGCCAGTAAGTGTTTTCAAGGCTATAAATCTTGATGGGAGCAGACGGCCTTACTTTTCTCAGAGTGACGGGTGGACTTGAACTGGGGACCTTTCATTTAGCAGCTGAATGCATTGTTCACCCTGCAACTCCATCAAAATTCCTAGTGCTGGTTTAATAGTATATCCCAGAATCTACATCTAAGCTGGACTAAGCTCTCAGCCAGAATACCAGGTCTCACACTATCTATGCTGGAATTCTCCAAGCCCTAGGCTGGGTCCCCTGAACATTCCAGACAGAAAGTCAGAGAGAAGAGAATACTGGATTCTGGACTTCTGAGTCACCACGGCGTCACCGAGAAACCATCACGACCAGCTGACCATCTGGCCCCAGAGCGGGAGGGAGTGGGTACTCTTTACCACCCACTGTACTCGCACAGCCCACCCTAGCCCTTCCAGTAGCCCCTCCCTGTCACCCCAAAACCTGCAGCTCTCCATCGGAGGTGGGCACCCAGTGACACCCACTTCCACCTTGGTCAAGCCCTCTCAGTTGGTGACACCCCAGCAGGGCCTGTCCTGGAAGGTGCAGCTCAGGGGGGGATACCCTTGGAGGCCGGCCCAGTCACTCACACACACACACACACACACACACACACACACACTCGCACCTGCAGGGCTGGGCTCAGCGACAGCCTTTTCAGGACCTTCTTCTTGTGCTCATTCAGAAGGCCGTCGATCTTCCGCATGGGCGGGAGGTACAGCTCGTCTGGGGGGACGAGAGGGGGTGTCAGGGGACCCACAGTGCACAGCTCACTGCCAAAGGGTGGGCCAGGGGGTCTGAGCCACCAGGACGCTCTGCTCTCAGACCTGGGGTGGCAATCTCAGGAGTCTCCTTCCCCGGACCCCAGAGTGACAATCTCTCCTCTCCCAGACCCAGGGGTCCCCGGCCGCCACTCCCGCCTCCCTTCCTCCGTCGCGGGCGCCCCTGGCCCCCTCACCATGCGTGTCCTCCAGGGCCTGGATCATGTCGGGATCAAGCGCGGTGCTCACCAGCATCTCCACGTAGCTCCGGTACATCTCCCGCATGGCCCGCGTCTTCAGCAGCCGCCCGGGGACCGCACGCTCTGAAGGGACAGGCCGTGGGCTCCGTCACCCCAGCTCCGGGGCCACCAAACTGACCACCCCACTGTTCGTTTTATTTTTTTGGTCAGGAACATTACTCCAAATCCGGGGCCACCTAAGTGACCACCTCAGTGACCACCTCACTGTTCTTTTTTTTTTGCACAGGAACAAATAATTTTCTTTTTTGTTGTTACTAATTTTAATGAACGTGTTTACAGAGACTTTGGATTTCCATTCATTCATTCATTCATTGTCGCATTTTCCTCCCTGCCAATCCCTTCCCCCTCCAGTTTGTTCTTCTCTTTGAAAAGTTATAGAAAAATTCAATCTCCCCTCCTCCCCCTGTGTGCACTCACTAAGCAGCCTTCAATCTGGACTCTTGTCATGAAAATAATACCTAATCATAGATCGCTTTTAATCCACTCTCTACGCCATCTATTTCAATGCAATGCAATTCAATGCAAAAATTCATTTCTCCCCTCCTTTTCTGTCTTCCCTCAACCCTGATGTCAGTCCTGTTTTACAACAGTGGCACTATGCAATATTTGTCCTTTTGGAACTGAGATATTTCACTCAGCATATTGTCCTCCAGGGTCACCCATTTTGAATAATATTGCATGAATTCCTTGTTTTTCAATGCTTCACAGTATTCCATTGTGTGAGTACACCAAAGCTTTTCTATTCGTTTGCTGATGGTATTATTATTAATTTTAATGAACGGTTTACAGAGAATTTGGATTTCAATTCATTCACTGTTGCATTTTTCTCCTTACCCATCCCTTCCCCCAAGGTTGCTTTGATCTTTGAAATGTAAAAGAAAAATTCAACCCCTGTCGTCCCCCGCCCCGTTAAGTCCACTCCACTATGCAGCCTTTGTTCTGGACTCTAGTCATGATACTAATACCTAATCATATATCACTTTTAATCCATTCCCTCCCTCATCTGTTTCATTGCAGTATACATTATTTAACCCATCTTTCTCAGTCTCCCCTCAACCCCGATATCAGTCCCATTTTACAACAGTGGCACCATGCATTATTTGTCCTTTTTTGACTGAGATATTTCACTCAGCATAATGTCTTCCAGGATCACCCATTTTCAATAATATTTCATGAGTTCCTTGTTTTTCAATGTAGCGTAGTATTCTATTGTGTGAATATACCACAGCTTCTCTATCCATTCCTTTGTTGATGGGCACTTAGGTTGTTTCCAACTCTTTGCTATTGTGAACAAAGCCGCGATAAACATGGGTGTGCATATATCTGCTTGGATGTCACTTATGGTCTCTTTGGGGTATATTCCCAGTAGTGGAATTGCTGGGTCAAATGGTATCTCTATCTGCAACTTTTGGAGAAAGTGCCATCCAGCCTTCTATAGTGGTTGCACCACCGTTCTACGGATCGGGGACCGGGGAGAGATGACCCTGTCCTCGGGGAGGGGGCATGCCAGGACAAGCAGGCAACACTGCTGGGTGCTCTAATGGTGGGACCACCAGTGGGGCCAGGAGCTCAGGGTGACGGCTCAGGTACTGGGGTCCTGTGAAGATTAGAGCTGTGGAAGCCCTAAAGTTTCACTCTGTCATTTAAGGTCGCCAGGAGTCCAAATTCAGGAGTCCTACAGCAGTGAATTTGTTCACTTTAGATTAAAGGAGTAATTATCCTGGAGAGCTCTGGTGACATACTGGGTAGGGAGTTGAACTTACAGCCCAGAGGTGGCTTAAATTTGCCAGCGGCTCTGTGCTCAATAAATCACGCGATTTACTGCCTCTGAAAAACTACTGAAGGCTCAACTATCAGTCAATGCTGACTAGACAGCAGTGAGGTTTTTAAAAATACATTGGCACCCATGTTTATTGCGGCTTTGTTCGCAATAGCAAAGAGCTGGAAACAACCCAAGTGCCCAACAACAAACGAAAGGATAGAGAAGCTGTGGTATATTCACACAATGGAATACTACGCTGCATTAAAAAATAAGGAATTCATGCAATATTATGCAAAATAGGTGACCCTGGAGGATATTACGCTGAGTGAAATATCTCAGTTACAAAAGGACAAATATTGCATAGGGTCACGGTTGTAAAATAGGACTGTCATCACAGTTGAGGGAGGAGAGGAATGGTGTATACGGCATTGAAACAGATGAGGGAGAGAACTGTTTAAAAGGGACACATGAATGGGTATTCTTGTCATTACAAAAGTCCAGAGTGAAGGCTGTATAGTGGAGTGGACTTGGGGGGAAGGACTGTATAACAATGAAATAATTTTTTTTTACTTGTCAAAGAGAAAAGCAAACTGGTGGGGGGGTAGGGAGAAAAGTGCAAAAATGAATGAATGGAAACCCTAAGTCTCTGTAAACTTTCATTAAAATTAATAATAAAATAATAAT